CCAGGGCCACAGGTTTGTGTGAGTCGGGCTTGTGCTAGGGTGCTAAAAATAGGGGGGTCGCTTGGGCTGGAGCGTGTGCTCTTGGCCTGAGGAGAGGGGGTGAGCTTGAGCCTGAGCAATGTCTAGGCAGCATTTCAGTGTGCTAACACAAGGCCTACTCGTGTGTGTGGGCCTGGGCTGGAGGCGCTCTCCCATGCAGCGTAGACATGCCCTAAGTTCTTACAGATGGGGCACTGAGAAGAGAGGTGACCCTGGGTAACTTAACCCCAAGGGAGACACCGGCAGAGCCGGAGCCGGAACTCAGGAAGTCATGAATCTCAGGCCCCTGCTTAATCCACTGATCAGCCCTTTCTACGATACAAAGACAATTCGGTTTTCTAGTGAAGTGGTGCCTGAGGCTGACGGAGACTGCATTAGAGTGTGTTTCAAGGCCCGGGGGGGGCAGGAAGACTGGAAGGGGAGGCTTAGGCATAAGAGTCCAGCTACGTGGGGACTGTCCATGCAATCAGTAAGTGAAAGGTCCTGGATCTAGAAGGCTGCGTGGGTGACACCAGTCCTAAAGGCTACTTTATTTAACTACGGTACAAAAATGAAGATGTAGAGTATATATACAAGGAAACAGTGTCCAAGAGCCACGCGTATGGGATTATTGGAATGGATGGAAATAAAGAAAGGCACAATGGCATTACAGTAGCAGGCTGAGTGGGTAGGTAGATGCTTAATAATCGACTGTCCTGTTTGTATAAAAACTAGTTAGGATTACACAACCAGCCTTAGTCAGCTGACAAAACCTTTTAGCTGTAGTAACTATAATCCTTCTTGCTTTGTTCCTTCCCTACTGTTAAAACCACAGCAGGTATTTACCACGGGGGGTGCAAGAATCGTTTCCATGACCAGTGTAGGTAGGGATGGCTTTTGATCTAAGAACTCTGTGAAACTTTGGGGATCCAGCATTTTTCCATTGAAAGCAAATTTGCTTTGCTTGAGCAAATTTCCTCTGCAGGAGTTAAACCACTTCTCGGCACCTGGCACTGCATTACGTTTTTAAAATGTGCAAAACTGGGGCATAAGCAAGGCTCACTTAGGATGTTTGATGCCTGAGCTGTCTCTAGGCCCACTTTTTTTTAATCATCTGGAAATGTCTAGGATAAATGGGTCCCAAGCCCTTTTAAGCTAATCAATAATGTTGCAGGACTGCTGCAAAAGTAAGGGTCAGGTTCCATCCCCATTACTCATGTGGTACCCATTGGTACTGCCCATTGTGAGTAAGGTGTGAGAATGTAGCCCATAATAAGGTGCTTCGCTGCTTGAGTGTGGGTGGCTGCATCAGTCCCCAAAAGCAAGGGGACTCCCAGACATCAGGGAATGGGGCAATGTTATGCCTGACAGGCCTAATGCTCAGCAGTCTGCCTGTGCTGCCCTCTCACTTGCTCTTGCCTCATGAATATTCAGTTATTTCTATAAAGCAGAATAGCTTCAACAGGCAAGAGTGAGAGACCTGTCGTCCCAGTTTCAGGGTAACTGCCCATGTCTCTCCCCCCCGGCCCCCACACACTTTGTGGTGCACTCCAGATGTGTCCACTCACGTCTCCAGCTGTCACTTGTCTCTGGGCAGGGACCCTGTCCCTGCCCCACTCCCTTAAAACCAGGGCTTAAAGGGTGCACAGCCCCCTGCCTTACCCTAAAGGCTATCTTACATTAGCCAGTCTGCCTGTGCTCTCTCTCTCCAAGGATAATCATAGAATATCAGGGTTGGAAGGGACCTCAGGAGGTCATCTAGTCCAACCCCCTGCTCAAAGCAGGACTGATCCCCAACTAAATCATCCCAGCCAGGGCTTTGTCAAGCCTGACCTTAAAAACTTCAAAGGAAGGAGATTCCACCAACTCCCTAGGTAACCCATTCCAGTGCTTCACTACCCTCCTAGTGAAAAAGTTTTTCCTAATATCCAATCTAAATCTCCCACACTGCAACTTGAGACCATTACTCCTTGTTCTGTCATCTGCTACCACTGAGAACAGTCTAGAGCCATCCTCTTTTTCATAACGACCAGGGTGTGCCAGCAACTGCAAGTTACCACACAGCTCTTCCAAAGCAAAATACATTTATTCATAGGACAAAAGCATCATAACAGAAACATATATATAAAATCCCTACACAGTTACTTAACATACCAGAAATCAGCCATTTTCCACAACTCACCTTAATTAACCCCCCCCCCCCGCCCATGGATTTTAGTTCCTGGAGGAGCTGTGGTATCCCTCCCCATGGGATAAAACACAATCATACATCGTTGGGATTATTAGTACCAAAACCCAACCCCATCCTTCCCCAGAGAATCTGCTAATTCTCCAAGCCAACAGCATGCACTTTGGGCATTACCATGGTACGAATAGCTGAAGACCTCAGGTGGTGGCCTGTTGTTTGTGCCAGATATTGTGCAGACAGGAAGTTGCAGTACAGTCCCTGCTCTACAGAATGTACAATGTGACCTAAGACCTGACACTACAAGTCAGTGTAACAAATACCAGCAGGGAAGGGGAAAGTGGGTAATGCTAAGATCACACTCTTCCATAGGCTGGCTACAGCATAGGCATACTTTGATAGGCCCAAGTAGTTTAAAAGCTTTTTAAAAAAAATGAGTAAATATGAGCAAACCCCATTGGACCTCTCCCCAGCCGCTAGCAATTTCCAATAGGCATCATGGTAGAAACAAGTCTTGTGGACTGGCTTGAGTGGGGAGAAGGTGGTGGCTTTAGAGGAGGGTATTCCATGTGCAAAGGACACCGAGAAAGAAAGCGTGAAGACACAGGCCTGATCTTGTTTATTGTCTATTCTCAGCAGCTCCTGAGAATGGGGAAATCACCTTTTTTTTTAAAGCTATTACGAAGCGTAGCTATTTAAAACTTTGTTCTAGTTAATGGAGTAGTGAATTCCCCCTTCCACTATGACTGCTTATAAAGACATGTGACCTATTAGATATGCCCGTGTTCTAACAGCAATAACTATCAAGACTATTTTAACCTAAGAAGAATTGGGTGTCAGGATAAGGGCGCGGGAGTCAGGGTGATATGAAGGGGCAATGTCTGGCATCTCTGGGTATTCTGTACAATTTACTTTGTTGCTGTGATTATAAGCTGTTCTGGCAAAAAAGCAGTAATAAATCATTTAACAATTCAAGATTTTCCAATGTGGCTTAAGGAGCATTATAATGAGATTTTAAAGACTTGTGTTTTTCAGTTGTACATGACCTCTTTTTTTAAACAATAAAACTGTGATTGTAAATTATTCATTTGCATTTTCACATGGGATATGCCATATTCCTTCATGAATGCAAGTGGCCTGATTACATCTTGACCATCAAATTCCACATTTTCCTAGGCATTTTTCATCTGCACTCACTCCCAGGAGGATGTATGAATTTCCAGTATGTTTCACCCAGCGCCTGATATCATAGAACATTGCTGTTGCCAACCATGGAGCCTGAAAGACACAGCTGATAGAAGGTTCCATTGTTATGGTTATGTGCAAGGGGCTTAGCTCAGGAAAAACAATTGGGGTATTGTGGCCCCACATCTGACCCTCCCCCCTTTTTAGTTATGGAAAAAAGTAGAGTCAGTCATCTCAACAGAACCACTTTTCTCCCCTCCCCCCTTTTCACTGGATCCTGCCAGGACTTCTCTGCTGGTCTCAGGAAGTGCAGGAAGTACGCAGGGATTGGGCAGGTTGTGGAGCAAAAGGGGACAGGAATACACATTGTTGCCTTGCCCCCTGGAGCTTGTATAGAAAAGGCAATACTGCCTTGCAGTATGGGGCCTTTTAAGGAGGGTCCCGTAGGCAGCTGCAGCCAGGGGAGAACCTGGTAGTGCAGTTCCAACAGAGCCACGTTTCCACCGACTGAGACGAGACCATGGCCTCTGGTGCATCCGCAGGCCTGTCTGATTTGGAGGGGGGTCACATGGCCTATTCTACGCAAAGGAGTAAACCCCACCCCAAGACGGACTGATCAGGCAGGAGCCTGGTCCACTTTTGGATGCCACCAACTAGACTGCAGGGGGCAGACCCCAGAATCTACCCAGAGCCCCGGGATATGCTCAAGCTCATCCGTACAGGATCTGACCCTGGAACAGCAGCTTTCAGTCAGACTCCAGCACCCCTGCTCAGGACAGGAGACACTAACAGGTGTCTGAAACGACTGAATTTTTTTCATATAATTCTATCAGAAGAGGCATGGTAGGATGTGCTCACCTACAGCCTGAAAAAAGTTTGAAAAAGTAACACGTGTATTTTGCTTTACTCTAATTTATGAGTATTTGAGTGTTTACTTGGTATAAAACTTGACAACTTGTTACTGATCTCCTTGGGTGCCGATATAAGTTATGATCTGAGGTGTAATAGGGTCCAGGCCTTACAAATATTCTTAAGGCCAAATGATTTTTCATATTGCAGTACCACCTAGAGGCCCTGAACACATATACAGAAGAGGTGGTCTCTGCCCTCAGAGTTTACAATCTAAGTATGAGACTGTGACATACCAGGGTACAATCCAGACCAGTAGGGTGGGGGTGGAGGTGGTTTGGTAGCCCCTGCCCTTACAATGCCTTGCTGAATTAGCTCCCACCTGGGCCGCTCACAAACAGCCTTTCAGCATGCGTGCCACACCTTGAGTGTCTGTGTGTAACTGCAGCTTGCCAGCCACTCCTGAGTTACATTCTGACTCTCACCAGTCTCGGTTATACTGCAGCGTGACCCCAACACACCCCAAGTATTAGATTTCCCCCCAGAAATGTATGTCCTGTACTGCCCAGTCCTCTCCTGGAAAATACAAGTTACATTAAATCTGTTATTCCCTTTAATAGAATAATATGCACAAAACTTGCCATTCCAAATGGAGTTTCCCAGACACTTCAATTTAAACACACTGGATTAGATAAAACAAGTTTATTAACTTCAAAGAGATTTTACGAGAGTGCATGTAATGAGGCATAAAAGTCAGAAATGGTTAGAAGAAAAATAAAGATAAGACGTTTATTAACACATAACTTAAACTATATCACATTCAAGCAAAATTTCTCACCAGATGCTTTCTGCAGTCTGACTCACCCAACCCCATAGGTGAGGGGTCCTTCTCCAGAGTCCAATGCTTTCTTCCTTGGTCACTTCAGGCGCAGTGAATGCGATGGGCAGGGAGAGGGTGGGGGGGGGCCTTGGGGTGTTTGTCCCTCCATTTTATAGTTTCAGTCCCTCTCCTGAAAAACATTCCCAGCTGGACACCAGGAGACAAAGAATCTATATGGAAGAATGTTCTCTGCTGCTTTTCCCCCTCACCGGTTTGCGCTTTGTTTCCCTTTCTGCTTGATGACTCTGTTTACTGCTTAAATGCAAATTAAGCAGAGTGCACTTTTTTTTTGTTTAGGGCAGACCTGTTTGCCAACCTCAGGTTGGACAGGGCTCTGGGATTTAGAACATGCATTGTTAACACCATACAGTGGAATCTTATAACTCACATACAGTGTTGCCACAAACATATTTTACCAAGACAATAATGATCAGAAAATTATGAGTTTTCAAACAATACCTTACAAGGCATACTCTGTACAAAAATTATTACAATAAGGTGTGAATACAGGGGTACATTCTGTCAGAGACAAGAGACAACAGGTGGATAAAGGCAGATGGGGGACCACAATAACAATGAAACATCATTTGTCAGCATAAGCAGTGTGTGCAGTGTGCACAGCCCACTGGCAGCCTGACCATTGTCTTACGGCATGCTAGTGCGTTCACCAGGTAAAAGACAACGTTGTGTGTGGGAAAGCTGGAGTTGATATATAGTCTATGAATTACCTTAGGGGAGAGAAAGTACATTTCCGGGAGGAAGAATTTTTATTGTTCTGTAAGACGGACTGGCCAAGATAATTCACAAGTAAGAGAATGCTACATTTAAAGGAACTTGTGAAGGGTATGGTGACAGACAGTGACAAGATTAGGACTGGTCTGTGTAGGGAAAGAGCCAAAAAGAACTTCCTGCATGGAAAGCATATTTAGGAACAATACTAAATTTAAGTAGAGAGACTTGAATCAATTCAGATTATTTACAGACCAGATCCAGATGGGAAAGTGTGTGAATCTACGATCATAATATCCAAACCCCGAGCAAAGGATATTAGATAGGTGGAACGTGGTCCCACATCTGGTCTATAGGCAAAATTCCACAGCAGATCATCTCTGCCTTTGTAGAGACGAAGGATGGCATCACCAGACCAGGGCAATCGCAGAGACACAGGCCAGGCTCCCCATACAGAGTCTACAAGGAAAAGAAAAGCAGAGGTCACCGAGCATCCGATGTATGTTCCAAGCGAGGAAAGGGAACGAGAGGCAGAAAAATCACAGTAAAGTTGGGTGTGGGTGGGGTGAGAGAAAAAAAACCTTAGTGCAGGGGAAGATTCACCAAGCAGAAACTCCACAACACTACAGTGTGGCATGGAGATGGCCAGCCGGAGCCTACACTTTGCTCAGCATGAAGGTGGCAGCTAAAGGAAGAATAGAAAGTCACAAGAACCCAGTTTTGTACCAGTGTCTCCCAGGGACAAAGAAGTGTGACAGCTCTGAAGGCTTTTCCTTGCAGTCTGAAAAGATTCTATCATCCCCAAGTGGGGGCAAAGCAGAACAGTCAAGGTCAAAATATTATATCTAGAACAGTCAAGGACGATACTCTTCCTGCTCTTTATGCTATGCCGCCCCCCAACGCCCCCTCCCCCATCCCAGACCCCCCCGTGCCGCCCCCCAACACCCCCTCCTCGATCCCAGACCCCCCCGTGCCGCCCCCAACGCCCCCTCCCCGATCCCAGACCCCCCCATGCCACCCCCCAACACCCCCTCCCCGATCCCAGACCCCCTGTGCCACCCCCCAACGCCCCCTCCCCGATCCCAGACCCCCCCGTACCGCCCCTACAGCCCCCTCCCCGATCCCAGACCCCCCCGTGCCGCCCCCTACAGCCCCCTCCCCGATCCCAGACCCCCCCCCGTGCCGCCCCCCCACGCCCCCTCCCCCGATCCCAGACCCCCCCCGTGCCGCCCCTACAGCCCCCTCCCCCGATCCCAGACCCCCCCCGTGCCGCCCCCCAACGCCCCCTCCCCCGATCCCAGACCCCCCCCGTGCCGCCCCCTACAGCCCCCTCCCCGATCCCAGACCCCCCGTGCCACCCCTACAGCCCCCTCCCCCGATCCCAGACCCCCCCCCGTGCCACCCCCCCAACGCCCCCCTCCCCGATCCCAGACCCCCCCCGTGCCGCCCCCTCAACGCCCCCCTCCCCGATCCCAGACCCCCCCGTGCCGCCCCCCCAACGGCCCCCTCCCCCCATCCCAGACCCCCCCGTGCCGCCCCCTACAGCCCCCTCCCCGATCCCAGACCCCCCCCGTGCCACCCCCCCAACGCCCCCCTCCCCGATCCCAGACCCCCCCCGTGCCACCCCCCCAACGCCCCCCTCCCCGATCCCAGACCCCCCCGTGCCGCCCCCCAACGGCCCCCTCCCCCCATCCCAGACCCCCCGTGCCGCCCCCCCAACGCCCCCTCCCCGATCCCAGACCCCCCCGTGCCGCCCCCCAACGGCCCCCTCCCCCCATCCCAGACCCCCCCGTGCCGCCCCCCAACACCCCCCTCCCCGATCCCAGACCCCCCCCGTGCCGCCCCCCAACGGCCCCCTCCCCCATCCCAGACCCCCCGTGCCGCCCCCCAACGCCCCCTCCCCGATCCCAGACCCCCCCCGTGCCGCCCCCCAACGGCCCCCTCCCCCATCCCAGACCCCCCCGTGCCGCCCCCCCAACACCCCCCTCCCCGATCCCAGACCCCCCCGTGCCGCCCCCCAACGGCCCCCTCCCCCCATCCCAGACCCCCCGTGCCGCCCCCCCAACGCCCCCTCCCCGATCCCAGACCCCCCCCGTGCCGCCCCCCCAACGCCCCCGTTCCGCCCCCTCCCCCACCCCAGACCCCCCCGTGCCGCCCCCCAACGCCCCCTCGGAGCCCCGCGCGGGGGGCGGGGGGTGTTTCCGGCACCTCCCCCCGCGGGTAACGGGCTGACGTCACGTCCTGCCCCCCCCGCCCGCTCCGGTGCGCGGAGCCGGTTGGAAGCGGTTCCCGCCCGCGCGCTGCACAGGAGCCGGCCCGCGCGCGCCGCCGCGGCCATGGGGCTGAGCTAGGGGCCGCCGCGCCGCCGGGTGAGTCTGCGGGGGCGCGCGCGGGGAGCACGTGCGGGGCGGGGGGAGCCTCGCGCCCGCCCCCGGCCCGGCCCGGCCCCGCGCGGCTGGGTGGGTGGCTTCGCGGGCCGCCTCCGGCTCGGGCTCGCCGCCCCCGGGGGCCGGGCCTGTCCTGTCCTGTCCGCGGGCTCCCGTCCCCAGGCGCGCCCCGCCCCTCGCCCCGCGGCCGCCCCTCGCCCCTGCCCCGCCGGGGTCCGGCCCCCTCGCCCCGCGGCCGCCCCTCGCCCCTGCCCCGCGGCCGCCCCTCGCCTCTTCCCCGCCGGGGTCCGGCCCCCTCGCCCCTGCCCCGCCGGGGTCCGGCCCCCTCGCCCCGCGGCCGCCCCTCGCCCCTGCCCCGCGCCGCCCCTCGCCTCTTCCCCCCGGGCCCCGGCCCCCTCGCCCCCCTCGCCTCTGCCCCGCCGGGGTCCGGCCCCCTCGCCCCCCCGCCCCCGCCCCCCCGGCCGCCCCTCGCCCTCCCCTCCCCCCCTCGCCCCGCGGCCGCCCCTCGCCCCTGCCCCGCCGGGGTCCGGCCCCCTCGCCCCGCGGCCGCCCCTCGCCCCTGCCCCGCGGCCGCCCCTCGCCCCTGCCCCGCCGGGGTCCGGCCCCCTCGCCCCGCGGCCGCCCCTCGCCCCTGCCCCGCGGCCGCCCCTCGCCCCTGCCCCGCCGGGGTCCGGCCCCCTCGCCCCGCGGCCGCCCCCCTCTTCGCCCCCCCTGCCCCCGCCCTCGGCCCGCCCCTCGCCCTGCCCCGCCGGGTCCGGCCCCCGCCCCGCCGCCGCCCCTCGCCTCTTCCCCGCCGGGGTCCGGCCCCCTCGCCCCGCGGCCGCCCCTCGCCTCTTCCCCGCCGGGGTCCGGCCCCCCCCCCCCCCCCCCCCCCCCCGCCGGCCCCCTCCCCCGGCCCCCCTCCCCCCCCGGCCCCCCCCCCCCGCGGCCCCTCCCGCCCCGCGGCCGCCCCTCGCCTCTTCCCCGCCGGGGTCCGGCCCCCCCCGCGGCCGCCCCTCGCCCCTCCCCGCCGGGGTCCCCCCCCGCCCCCCCCCCCGCCGCCCCCGCCGCCCTGCCGCCCGCCCCTCCCCCCTCTTCCCCGCCGGCCGCCCGCCCCCCTCGCCCCGCGGCCGCCCCTCTTCCCCGCCCGGCCCCGCCCCGCGCCGCCCCTCGCCTCTTCCCCGCCGGGTCCGCCCCTCGCCCCGCCGCCCTCGCCCCGCCCCGCCCCCGCCCCCGCCTCTTCCCCGCCGGGGTCCGGCCCCCTCGCCCCGCGGCCGCCCCTCGCCTCTGCCCCGCCGGGTCCGGCCCTCGCCTCTCCCCCCGGTCCGCCCCCCCCCGCGGCCGCCCCTCGCCTCTGCCCCCCGGGGTCCGGCCCCCGCCCCGCGGCCCGCCCCTCGCCTCTCCCCGCCCCCCCTCCCCCGCCCGCCCCTCGCCTCTTCCCCGCCGGGGTCCGGCCCCCTCGCCCCGCGGCCGCCCTCGCCTCTGCCCCGCCGCCGCCCTCCCCCTCCCCGCCGCCGCCCCGCCTCTCCCCACCGGGTCCCCCCGCCCCGCGCCGCCCTCGCCTCTTCCCCGCCGGGGTCCGGCCCCCTCGCCCCGCGGCCGCCCCTCGCCTCTGCCCCACCGGGGTCCGGCCCCCTCGCCCCGCGGCCGCCCCTCGCCTCTGCCCCGCCGGGGTCCGGCCCCCTCGCCCCGCGGCCGCCCCTCGCCTCTGCCCCACCGGGGTCCGGCCCCCTCGCCCCGCGGCCGCCCCTCGCCTCTTCCCCGCCGGGGTCCGCCCTCCGCCCTGCCCCGCCGCCCCTCGCCTCTGCCCCACCGGGTCCGGCCCCCTCGCCCCGCCCCGCCGTCCCCCCCGCCCCGCCCCCCCCCTCCCCCGCGGCCGCCCCTCGCCTCTGCCCCACCGGGGTCCGGCCCCCTCGCCCCGCGGCCGCCCCTCGCCTCTGCCCCGCCGGGGTCCGGCCCCCCCCGCGCCCCCTCCCCCTGCCCCGCGGCCGCCCTCGCCTCTTCCCCGCCGGGGTCCGGCCCCGCCCCGCGGCCGCCCCTCGCCTCTGCCCCGCCGGGTCCGGCCCCCGCCCCGCCTGCCCCGCCGGGGTCCGGCCCCCGCCCCGCGGCCGCCCCTCGCCTCTGCCCCACCGGGGTCCGGCCCCCTCGCCCCGCGGCCGCCCCTCGCCTCCCCGGGTCCGGCCCCCGCCCGCCCCCTCGCCTCTCCCCGCCCCCCCCTCTTCCCCCCGGGGTCCGCCCCCGCCCCGCGGCCGCCTCTGCCTCTTCCCCGCCGGGGTCCGCCCCTCGCCCCGCGGCCGCCCCCTCGCCCCTGCCCCGCCCTCGCCTCTTCCCCGCCGGGGTCCGGCCCCCTCGCCCCGCGGCCGCCCCTCGCCTCTTCCCCGCCGGGGTCCGGCCCCCGCCCCGCGGCCGCCCCTCGCCTCTGCCCCGCGGCCGCCCCTCGCCTCTGCCCCGCCGGGGTCCGGCCCCGCCCCTTCCCCCCGTCCGCCCCCGCCCCGCGGCCCCTCGCCTCTTCCCCGCCGGGGCCGGCCCCCGCCCCGCAGCCGCCCCTCGCCTCTTCCCGCCGGCCGCCCCCCGCCCGCCCCTCGCCTCTTCCCCGCCGGGTCCGGCCCCTCGCCCCGCGGCCGCCCTCGCCTCTGCCCCGCCGGGGTCCGGCCCCCGCGGCCGCCCCTCGCCTCTTCCCCGCCGGGGTCCGGCCCCCTCGCCCCGCGGCCGCCCCTCGCCTCTTCCCCGCCGGGGTCCGGCCCCCTCGCCCCGCGGCCGCCCCTCGCCTCTTCCCCGCCGGGGTCCGGCCCCCTCGCCCCGCGGCCGCCCCTCGCCCTGCCCCGCCGGGGTCCGGCCCCCGCCCCGCGGCCGCCCCTCGCCTCTGCCCCGCGGCGCCCTCGCCCTTCCCCGCCGGGGTCCGCCCCCGCCCTCGCCCCGCCGCCCCTGCCCCGCCCGCCCCCCTCGCCTCTGCCCCGCCGGGGCCCCCCTCCGGCCCCCCTCGCCCCGCGGCCGCCCTCGCCTCTGCCCCGCCGGGTCCCCCCTCGCCCCGCGGCCGCCCCTCGCCTCTTCCCCGCCGGGGTCCGGCCCCCGCCCCGCGGCCGCCCCTCGCCTCTGCCCCGCCGGGGTCCGCCCCTCGCCCCGCCCGCCTCGCCTCTTCCCCGCCGGTCCGCCCCCTCCCCCGCCGCCGCCCCCGCCTCTCCCCCCGGGGTCCGGCCCCTCGCCCCCCGGCCGCCCCTCGCCTCTTCCCCGCCGGGGTCCGGCCCCCGCCCCCCCCGCCCGCCCGCCCGCCCCTCGCCCCTGCCCCGCCGGCCGCCCCTCGCCCCCCCCCGCCGGTCCGCCCCCCCCGCGGCCGCCCCCTCGCCCCCCCGCGGCCGCCCTCGCCTCTTCCCCGCCGGGGTCCGGCCCCCGCCCCGCGGCCGCCCCCCCTCCCGCCTCTGCCCCACCGGGGTCCGGCCCCCTCGCCCCGCGGCCGCCCCTCGCCTCTGCCCCCGCCGGGGTCCGGCCCCCGCCCGCCCGCCGCCGCCCTCGCCTCTGCCCCGCC